CAAAAAAAAAAAAAAAAAAAAAAAAAAAAAAAAAAAAAAAAAAAAAAAAAAAGAGAGAAAAAAACCACAAAAGGTCTCCAGATGGAGGAAAGGGAACAGGCTCCTTGGGAGGAGCACAGAAGCATCACCCAGGCATGACACAACAAACAGAACACAGCCAGTCAAATGGAAGCTCAAGTTAAAACTAATGAGGGGCATGAAAGAGAATAAAAGCTTCTATAAAGAAATCTGCACAAAAATTAAGATGATCTGTATCTGCTGCTGAATAAAGCAGGTAACCTGCTATGGAAGAGGCTGGAAAAGCATCTCAGTCATTTCTAACAGGGTTTGTTCTCAGGTCTCCCACATCCCTGGTGATGGCAAAACCTGTGGAAGAATGGTGTTACCCACAGCAGAAAAGAATCAAGGACTCCTGAAGTAAACTTATCATACACAAGCCTGGAGATCCAGAGAGAATATATCCGAAAGTGCTGAGCTGCCACCAACTTTGAGGCAGTTGTGTCATCTCTAATAGATTGTGATGACTGTGGGAGGTTCACAATTGCCAGAAACAGACAAAGGTTACCCTCTAAGTTAAGAAGGATTATCAAGAAAGCTACAGGCCAGTCCAGCTCACCTCAGTCCTGGAAGACTTTGGAGCAGATCATCACGGAAGCCACCAGTGCCATATATATGAGCAAGAGAGGATTTCTGAATCCTCTTTCCTAAAGACTGTGACCATTTCTAAGGGCAACTAGAATTTTGAGCTTCATTCTCAACACAACTCTAGCCTTGCGTGTTAACTAAGCCACTTCTCAGTTGTTCAGTTTCTTTTTTCTGCGTATCAGATTATTCAGCACCCATTGGTGCTTTAAACTAACTTGACTAGTACTAATAATATGACCCAGCTTTTCAAGAAAGGATCTCAAAACACTCTCTACAGCATCATTATCTGAAGGTACATGTCCTTCAGATATACCTTTTGTCTGTCACATTAAATAATGACCTTTATAGAGGAAGGAGTTCTGTAATTTGTGAACTTCAGTTGGTTTAGCACATCTCTTGCTGAAATGTCATATTTAAATTAGCATGCACACTGCGAGAGCAGCCTCAAATCATTTAAAAATTAATATTCAAAATAATTTCAATGCTGATAGGAGCCGATACCCTTGGTTTATTATTCTCAACTCCAGCAGAATGTATGCTGGCATTATAAAAACAGACCATTTTGAATTTGTGTGGGTCATTTCAGACCCCAGAGCTTTCCCAGGCACCCAACATTTTTATGCTGGGTAGTCATTCAATATCTGTCACTTGGCTTTGAAGCACTACAGTCATCCACAAGCTTTTCCCCTTAGGCACTTGAGAAGGGTGGGTAGTCCTCAGAAATATTTGGTTCATGTCTGCTTTCACCATGAATAGGTTTAACATGTGTTTTGTCCTTTCTGACAAGACCTACATCTATGTACCTGTGAGATGCAGTTCCACATCAGCTCCTCCTCTCCTAAAGAAAAGATTCTGCTTTTTCAGAACCAGCTGTTCATAGTCAGATGGTTTGAAACTCGATTGGTCCTGCCTTAAAAGAAACAGTACTGTAATCTCAATTTATTTCCTTCTTCCCAGGAGGACTGTACTATCCAAGACCCGCTATTACTTTTTCCTTCATGGTGAAGAAATTGCTAATGACACCAATTATGTGACACAAAATGTTGTCTCTACATTTTTCTTCCGTTCCAGGTCAGCAAGATTGCAACTGGAAAACAAAGACATAGCAAATTGAAAAGAACTTAGGGAGGCTGTGGGTTTTTTTTCCCCCCAAAATGGAAATGCTGCATAAAATTCAACTCCAGTGAATCAGACTGAATCCCTGATAAATGAGCTGAGAAAGGGCATTCATGACTGCTATGCTGTATTTTTCTGGTGGTACTCTGCTCAGACAGTGCTGTGAAATGAAATTGCATTTTACCCATTGCATTCAGTACTTACAATTGCTAGACGCAACAAAGTAAATTAGAAAGAGTGGCAGCTGTCAATTAATTCTGATTTATTTTCAATTATTTAAATTTTCATAGATAATTAGTTTTATAATTCCCTTAATATGCTTGAAAATTACATTTCTCTTTTCAACCAACCTTAAATAAAAGCTGAACCTTTTTTCTATTGAAAGCTACACTCCCTTATTTCTAGTGGATGAGAAGCAAATTTGGGTTTTATGACACACTCCTCCACTTTCCTTGGCAATAAATGTGCTTGTTTAGTCACACAACCAAGAACTTGTATTTCATTTTTATAACATAGGTAGACAACTCTGCTAAATTTCTTGCTTTCCTAGTATGACTTTACCTTGTGCATATGAATTATTAGTCTTTGCAAACATATTTCATCTCCTAGCATTCTCTTCCCAAGTTTGAATACTTTTCGATCCTCCTCTTTAGTCTAGCATCAACTGAAGTTTGCTGAAGAAACATTAGTCAGTCTTTAGGAGCCAATTGCAGAATAAACTATGAGTTATTTTGTAGTGGGCCTTGTATATATGTTGTTTACAGGGTGAAAAATTACCAATATAGGAAAATACAGATATAATTAAATACATATAAACATATGCAGCAAGTCCAGAGGAGAGCCACCAAATTGATTAGAGGGATGAGGCACCACTCCTGTGAGGAAAGACTGAGAGAACTGGGGTTGTTCTGCCTGAAGAGAAGGCTTCAGGGTGACCCAATTGTGGCCTTTCCATACCTGAAAGGAGCCCACAGGAAAGATGGAGAGAGACTTTTTTACATGTAGCAAAAGGACGAGGGAAAATGGCTTCTTGAGAGAGAGCAGGTTTACAAATTAGGAATAAATTCTTTATTGCAAGGGTGGTGAGACATTGGAACAGGCTGCCCAGTGAAATTGTGGATGCTCCATTCCAGGAAGTTTTCAAGGCCAGGTTGGATAGAGCTCTGAGCAACTTTAGTGAAAGGTATCCCTGTCCATGGTAGGTGGAATGGAATGAGATGATCTTTAAGGTCCCTTCCAACTGAAACCATTCTGTTGTTCTATGATCAGAGTTAAATAACAATGTGAGTTGGATTTGAGCTAATGCCCTTTATTCATAATACTGTAACTCTAGAGTTGGGTCAGGAGTTCTCCCATGACTTCTAACTGCAGATTTACCTCCAGCACTTTTTTCTGAGGCACATGGAATGGAAACATTAATGACAGTCTCCTAAAATAATCTTGTGTACAGCCTGTCATCAGAACATGCTGGAGACATGGACACATTCTACCCCTTTCGTCTTGGGGAATACACATGGGGAATACATGATTCCTTTGTACTTCCTGTACTGATTTGTCAAGGAGTTAAAAAAATCAAAGGTTATTAATGACACAAGAACTACAAAACCACACCAAGTTTCACCAGATTATAAAATATAAAAAAGATACTTAAAATCATGGGGAAAATAGACAACCACAAGAAATATTAGTAAAGTGGAAGGCAGTCATAACATGAGTGAAATTTAGGATACTAAGAATACTAATGATTTGGTAGGTTAGCATGAAAGTTACTCCACCTAACCAGGGAACAATTATCTAAAAAAAATTAGAGATTTATTAAACTACTAGGATTCTTTAGATTTCAAGTAACTTCACAGTTCTTGCTTGACACGATGAATCATCAGATTTCATTTAATTCCAATCAAGTCTCACTAACCTGCTGTCAGCTTGGGAGAACATATTCCCTCTGGCCATGCCTGGGACAGAGCCCCAACCACTGCTGAACCAGTGGGAAGACACTTTTGCTGTCTGTAAAGCAAAGCGCAAATCCCATTCACCACTAGTTCACAGCCTCCCTGAAAAAACAGTGAGATTAGGATCAGAGATAGCTATATGAATGAATATCTTTATGATACAGTGACAAGAAAGCATGGTCAGATACACTCAGCAGCTATGCACATATACTCATCAGATCATTTATTTATTGCCAGAATAAATAAATAACCTCAACCCAGGTTTTCAGTGCTGAATAAAAAGTTGTCCAACTATACCCTGCTATTTGACTTCAGCTGATGATTCATTTCACTGCTTCTCAAGGGAAAGACCATCTCCTGCTGAGAAAACAGGCAGACAACGCATTCATCACCATTGGTTCTGAGAACATGACATCTGCTTATTAGAGATATGCACAATTTACTGGTCAGTGCTACTGGGGCCTGTTCCTTGATGCTCTATGTTTATTTACATTAAGAGGATCTCTTTGAGTCTTATCTAGGCTAAGCAGTCCCAGATCCCTCAGCCTTTCTCGATATGAGAGATTCTTCAGTCCCTTAATCTTGTTAACAGCCCCTTTATGGACTCTCTCCAGCACATCCATCCCATCCTTGCAGTGAAAAGCTCAGAAGTAAACACAGTACTTCAGGTGGGAACTACTATAAAGAAAAAAAATCTTCATGTTTTTTAATGTTGAAAAGTTGGACATTTCTACCCAGTGAAGGATATCCTGCCCCTCATATTGCAATACTTATTTCCAATATCACTGCAAAACCAGAATTTCAAGACTTAGCGTTCTTATACAAAAATTAATTTCACAAAAACATACTGATTGAGACTTAGAGCAGTCAAAGGGAACACTGCCACTGACTTAGCTGGGAATGGGATACAGCTAAGTGGGCAAATTAGAAGAGTAGAAAGAAAGGAGAAGAAGCAATCTGATTTATCACAACTTTATAATCAGTGGGTAGTTACAAAAAAATCACACAGGTAAAACTTGGGCAGATTATTCCTAGTTCAGAGCTCTCCAGAAGGTTCTTCCCAACTATGCTGTAACTACCAGTTGTCCTCTCCCCTGTTATGAACTATCGAGGAGCCTGCACCCATATAATGAACCAAACGGATTCCACTGATCCAAGTATGGCCAGCTAGCAATAGTTGTGGTAACCATAATGCTTGTTTTAATAGTAGCATTGAAACAGTTTGAGTTTTAACTAATTTTACATCTGAGGATGGCAGAGAGATGCACCAGAGCATATCTGATTCCCCAAAGTCCAACAGCGAGGCTAAAGAGGCAAAGCACAGCAGGACTGAAGCTGCTGCTGTCAGAACGTGTTTACACTGTCTGATCACAACGCAAATACACGTAAGGAAATTAGAGTAGGTTTAGTTCACCCAAGCACATCTGTCACACCATCACATTTATGCTGCTCTTAAGGTCCCTTTAGGTAAGTCCAAAATTTTTGGACGTTCCTGTAAGTAATTCCTTAAAATAGGAGGTTGCCATTTTATTTGATGGGTAGTTTCAAACACAATTACAATCTGCACAATTAGGGATTACAACTGGTTAGAGTTAGCCAAAAGCTCAGACATATCCACAGAGCAAAAAGCAGATCTGAAGGCTCCTTAACACCCTCCTGCATTAGCTGTCTACATCACTATATCAAACTATGGCAAAACAAAAAGTTAAGACAAATTAAACACTCCACCATCCCCCTTTAATCCACTAACGTGTAAGCAATCCCTATCATTAGATTGGGAAATTTTAGAATCCTTTTATAAATCTTTGAAAGGGATCTTTCTGCTTGTGTAACTTCATGCATTGAAGAGGATGGCATTGAAAACTTCGCTTCCCTTGTCATTTATTCTGATCACAGTGAGGATGGTGATGAAATTTCAAATTCAATTCAGTGTTGTGCGCTTTAGTATTCCCAGGAGACCCGATGTCTGAGCAGTTTTAAACATCATTTTTCTACAGCTGTTTTTCTGGGGAAAGAGTGCTACGAATTTCAAACAAATGTGCCCCCCACAAGACACCAGCATCTTTCTATGTGGGTTTCATAATTGGAAACTTTGAAGACCTTGTGTAAGTCATCACTATTTCTGCAGTCCAGTTACCATAAAAATATACTTTCCTTTACATTCAGTTAATACCTTTTGCACTATTCAACAATTCCAGAAGGAAACAGATTCCCATGTTAAAGAAACTGGTTAAACTCACCACTCCAGAGGCTTGTAGCTTCAAGAAACCCATGCCCATGGTGAACTCTATTTCCATGCCCCATGTTTACCACTTCACATGGTCCTAGAAAAACAGAAGCAAAACAATGCATAGAGAGTATTCAGCTGCCTCAGTAGTTCTGGCTACAACAGAGACTGCATTCTTGTTTTTAATCCCTGAGGCAAGTACACAGCTCCTATGAAACTATGAACACATAACTGAATTCCTGGTTTTGTATCTCTGTGTTGTGCAACACACAGGATCAGATCACAGGTATCATGCTTCACACTCAGTGACAACTCTGTTTCATCAAAACTCTGGAAGAAAATTAAAGAATAAAACACTTCTGGTAAGATTTGTGAGCAACAGGAGATGGCTGGTTTGTTGGTAATGACCAGAAAAAAAATTGTTTCTTTTCATAGGAAAGCTATTTGAAATGAAGTCTGCCTAAGCACAGCTAAGTTATGCTATGATAGAAACAGAAAAAGAGGGAAAATATTTAGGAATGAGGACAATCTTCCAGAAAACACTGTCTCTGGAGGTCTGAATGAACATGTAATTCAATGAATTTTTAGTGAGATGCTGTAGTTAAAAAAAGAAGATGGGAGTGCTTAGATGCACATGTAAGAATAGTAAGAAAAATAAGGTGGTTTAATCTCACAGGCAGGGCATAGTGAAGTTTATGTTCCCAAGAATCAAAACAGACACAACAACACAGAAACACCTCTGCAGGTTAAAAATGGACTTTGAACAAAAGACTCTAGTTTAGCAGAAAACAGAAATGGATGGCCAGAAGTGACAATGACACAATTTAAAATTAAGAATTAACAATGTTGAGCATTTGCTGGGGTGAATCAGCATGAAATGGTGATCCTGCTCCTGTGGATACTTTCAGGTTGATTGTGATACACTTTTATAAGCTTCTCATAGCACATTTCTCAGAACTCTTAACAAGCAAAAAATAATTGTTCCATGCCCTTATATCAGCATTCTTTTGTAGACAAGATATAGAAAACAATGCAATAGCCTTTATCCAGGCTGAAGCACAAATAGATTGTCCTGGGCTGTCTGATTAAGTCCTGATCTATCAAGCAAACATAGTGCCTGGTATTCATGAAGTATTTTCCACCTTGGCTATTTTAAGCCTGGGAAAATACTCTACAACACCAAGGTAGTCGTTAATTGTACATTGTGTTGGCTCCAGAGGAAAATATTAAAACAATATATTGTGGGTTTTCACCCAGAAGAATTACACATGACAAGGAATCCCTACACTATACTTACTTCCCCTCTTAAAAATGGATTTTAGCATTGATTCCACTTGTTTATTCCAAAGATTCAGTAATCATACATTTTGATTGCTATAATTTACATACACTTGAGCAGTAGCTAACTCTCCAGGAGTAAAAATTGCACCAACTCATCTTGAAGAAAATTTTTTTTCTATATCACAGGTGTACTGCCATACAGAGTAATACCACAAACATAACACAGAAAAGTACTCATTCCTCATCCACATTATACAGCACAATATGAAATTTATTTATTTTTTCCCCCAAAATAAAACGTAAAAACACTGCAAAAACAAATCAGAAATTACTTGGTTTATCCTTTTTTCTCTCCCATTCCTTTAAAGCACCTTTCTTCAATTTATTCTACTACTTTTGGATACTTTCAGTTTTGCCACTTAGCAAAACAGGCTAATGTCATAAAGTCTGTAGCTGCCCTATCAGTGGCATTAAATGGCAAAGCACCTTCACAAAAAGCTGCACTGAGATATCAGACAGGGTCAATACTCAATAAGAATGAAATGAGTAAGTTTTAATATCTAATAATTCTATTATTCACTGTAGGAAAATCAGGGACCTGAGAGAACACAAAATGAAGGAGAATTCCAGCAGAATTGTTGCCTTTGTCTGTTTTATTTACAGGGATGGATAGATGAGAACACACCTGGGATATAAGAAAAGAACAGCAAAGAAAACTAGATCTAAAATTAGGTGCTGAGAACCACCTTGTTACAGACAGAAGTAATATAAGATATAAAAGTGTCCTACAATATTTAGAAAGGAAAGAGCACTATCAGACAAGACCAAGGTAACTAACATAATACGTAGGAAATAGAAGCCTGTGACAGCCATTTTTGGGAAGATGATTGAGCCAGTATGTTTACAAATTTTAGAATAATTGAAAAAAGACATATGAGGACTCAATAAAGGCATACCCTGGCTGACCACTACTGAAAAAGATGGTAGAAAGTTAAAGAAATTTATGTTTCATGTAAAATGAACAAGCTAATGAGATCACTAAGTCTTGTAATACTATTTGTAAACAGAAAAGGAGAGTTTTTTGGAAAAAAATTTCAAAACACAAGTAAAACTTCTCTCTTCTGTCACTTTGACAGAAACATTGTTGAACAGTACTGAGGCACAGTTGAGGACTATGGAAAAGGTAACTGGACAAGGAGTATCAACTGCAAAAGAGATGAACCATGAAGAAATATGGAGTACTTAGGTGAGGAAATCTGAAGTGCCTATGAGATTTATTCATTCCTTTAGAATTTTATACCCTTAGGGAACACTTTTTAATTACTATCTAAATAACAAATACCGTATCCATAGCAAAAGAAATAACTGGATTATCACAGTAATGACCTTCTACAGACTAAATTGTTTGTAAAGTTAGGGTGTGATGTTAACTACTGACCATGTAAATGGGCTTTTTGAAGGAGATTAGGCACTGCAATTTAACAAAATTTCAAAGGATCTGGAGGGATGTCAGCTTGGAAAAAAAAAAGAGTGGACATTTTAAGACTGTTTGTGGCTGCAAGACTTGGAGCTTCATAATGGAAACACCCTCCCTAAATTCCAAGCAGGGACTAGCCAAGGAAGGACCAAATGCTTTTTGCACAGGAAGCCTAAGGAAAGACCCCAGAAGACATGAGGGTGATGTGAGAAACAGGACATCTCTCTAAAATGACCTCACCCACCCAAGTCCTGCACTTCCCTATCCAGCAAGGACCTGTGACTAGAACTCTTCCAAGCAGAAGCCAGTCAAGAGGGAATTATGGCTACAGTGGGAATTCTCTTATCTTATGTAACTGTTGCACTTCACATGAATCAGTCTTTGCCTTTACAATAACACCCTACTGAACTAAACTTGCCCTAAAGTTGTTGTTGAAAGGAACTATTTATAGGGTTCACAGCAAACTAAAAGTCATGTAGGATTTCTTCAGAGAGGATTTTTACCTTATATTTAATTGGTACTACCCCTGATGCACAAATGCATTAAATGTAACCATTAGCAAAAAAATATAAAAGTCTGAAAGATGGCTCAAGGCATAGAATTCCTGCATCTGAAAGTTGAATTTAGGAAGATGTTCAATATTTTAAGTCTTGGTTAGTCTCTTCACTAAACTGAGCATATGTATTTCTCAACTGTGCTTGATTTTCTTTGAATTTTTTGAGTCTCGTGGACATCACACTGTCAGCTTCTCAGCATTAACAACTTCAGAAAAAATCGCAACATAGAAACAGATTGAGGAGTTCCTTATAAAAAAACATACTTCCAACACAGTTTTTTATTTTGTGCCCTAATTTTAAGATCTCGGAAGAACAGTCTTCACTGTCTTCAAGTGAAATTGTTAACAAAATTCTGCAAGTGAAGTGAGAAAACTCTAAGGAGGAGAAATGCACAAGTCCTTCAAAGTTGACAGGAAAACAGAACAACTCTTCTGTTTTGTTTTATTTACTTTGCCGTTTTTTCTGAAACTAGGGGAAATATTTTAAAAAGAAAAAAAAGGTCACCATCTTCATTAGTCTACAAACAATTCTATGTTAAAATAACAGAAAAAAATATTTGCAATTTATGCATTCATGAAAGAGGTAATTACTGCTTTTTTGAGCATAAATTTATTTAAACTGCTCTGTTTCCTAACCTAAAAAGGTTCCTAGACCAACATTTCCAAGAACAATGCTATCGAAGCACCCAAACACTTCTTATTTTTTACCTGTTTTTTCAATTTTGCCCACACCTACAGAATTCACCACTCAAAAATTAACTAAGCAAACAAAAAAAGGTAGAAACCAAAATATATTCTGGAAGATATAAACCAAACCTTTAAATATTTGCATAAAGGAATTATGTGTACAAGCCGTCCCTGGAGGGTATAGACTGTGAATTCAGAAATTACTTTCAATGTCTTCTGCATTCTGTAGGCTATTAAAATTCACATAAACCAGCAGTTTTGCTAGGCTTGAAAACTTCACATTAAATGTTGCTTCATTTTTTATGTGTTGTGTGAACAGCAGCAGAGAAAACAGTATTGAATAAACATTAAACAACTGGGAAAGATCATTTATAGACACTGTTTTCAAACAAGGTTTTACTATTTCTCTTTTGAATATGTCATGTTCTTACTTCAGGTTTAAGAGCTAACAACAGGCTTAATCAAGATCTTCAAAAATTTAACATTATTAGTGAGGACAAGCTATGAGAAAAATGAATGAAATATAAAATTAGATTATGCAAAGAATAAAAACAAAAATTGCAATTCATTTCTCTTTCAGGTGTTCTTATGACTATCTAAAAATGCTCCACTGTCACCACTCAGCATTTATGGAGTTGGTATGTTTAAAGTGATTAAGAAAAATTTTCAACTTCTCAGCAACCTTGTTTCCTAGGAACTAAACCAACTTCTTTTTACCTTTCACTAGTTTGAGTATTCAACCACCATAGGCGATAATATTCATTAAAGAAAATAAAAATCATCAAGATCAAACTTCACAAAGAATCTCTAAGATCTAACATTGATTGTGGCAAGATTTTATCGGAAAGACACTGATCAGACTGTCCATCATCAGTCATCAGAAAATCAGCTTGATTTTCCACAAGTATGATCTGTAACGAAATCCAAATATATAAAATTCACATTGGAAAACTATTTGAAAAGTCCACATTGAAACTGAAATCCATTAATTTCATTCAAATAAATTGTTTATGGTTTTCCTCAGCCCTGAAAGTACATCAGTTTAAGGCAAAACATATTTCTGATGGATATTTTGATGTTCACAACATAACTAAAGAGCCAAACAC